CAATAGGGTTAGTGGCTTAAACAAGTTCATTACAAAAAAAAAGAGAAAAAGCTTTTTTTGTAAATATTTTGTATATTTATATCAATTGTTTAAGATGGGGACGCCACTATATGCGTATTTTAATCAAATATGAGTGTAGGATGGTGGCGCGATCTTGTAGTCCTGTTAGTGACTAAGGCTGATATGTTCCTTATACACAGATGTTAATTAATAGCCCATACAGCTAATGGCAACTAAGGGACCTACAGTTTATAGTGGAATTCGAACCACATTTTCCTTGTGATTAGTCTAATTATCAGGATAAAACTGTGGATAGTCGCAGTACTCACTAGTGCGGACGTTAATCCACACCAGGGAGCATCACATCCACCTTTCATGCCTATAAATATCCACAATTTGTATATAAAAGGGGACAAAACCGTATTGTTATCATTATTACATATATTTTTTAGGTTAATATAAATAAAATGTATGCTTAGAACATAATAAACTATTTAATTATATGTTACCCACATACATGAGTCCAAAACGTTTAATATGAGACATAAATTAGGCCTTTCGGACAATTACTTCAAAAGATACAGCAAGAAATCTAAATTTCCAAGATGGCGGCAGTTTTTTCAAGATGGCGGCCGTTCCCCAACTGGGATTTTTTGGGACTTTGTGTGGGCCACTCAGGACATTGTTTTGAACATGTCCACCAATTTTCAGCCTGTTATCAATTTTGTCCGGGTCATAACCTAACTGCACTGGACTATATATCCATAAGGTGAATATTATTGAGTTAGTAATATTTTTAAAAATTGGGGCGCTTTCATTGCCTCACCCTGTATAAATTTGAATGTTGAACAGCAAATTTTGGAATTCCTTGATTTGCCAAATCAAATTGATTTACTAATAACATCATTTACAGCATCTGATGTAGCTAAAGTAATAAAAGACTATTTAAGCTGCAAAAATCTCCTGGTCATGGTCTGATAACAGGTTGAATGTTAAAGCTGCCAAGAAAAGGTATACCGTAGTGTTCCATACAGTACTTTCAATGCATGTTTTTTTACTTGAGTACTTCCCAATACAGTGGAAAGGTTTCACAAACTGTTGTTATTCCAAAACCTGGTAAACCTTTAAATATAAACCATCCTCATATCGGCCTATTTTTCTTCTTCCCGTTGTTTCTAACGTTTTTGGAAAACTTTTTTTACAAAGACTCCAAATTATAATTTATGAAAGAGAATTATTTCCTTTCCACCAGTTTGGGTTCAGTCAAGACACCATCGAGCTAGTGCATAGAATAGTGAATGTAATCAAGGAAGATTTTAAAAATAAAAGTTTTTGTTCATCTGTGTCCATAGACATTGTAAAGATGGAAGACCAAGGGATAGGGAAAAACACTTAATAAAAACATCAAAGTACCAGAAAAGGTGCACAGTGAATTCTCCCAGGGAAAATTGCTCAGGGAAAGTACTAAGGGAAAAGTGTTCAGGACTTTCGCTGGGGACCAGGTACTCTGGGTACCTTCCCCCATCCTCAAAACACTTTCCGACCGTATATAAGGAGCATCCTTGGGGGACTCCAGACCGGTGGGGTACGCAATAGAGGCGTGTTGAGCCCAGTGCAGTTAAGCCTGCACTAAAGGCGTGTTGAGCCCGATGCCTCCCGCACTAGAGGCGTGCTGAGCCCGGTGCAGTCGAGAGGCGTGTTGAGCCCCAGCAACCCCGCACTGGCCACACTAGAGGTGTATTGAGCCCAGTGCACCAGATACTAGAGGCGAGTTGAGCCCGGTGCACCCCGCGCTAAAGACGTGTTGAGCCCGGTGCAGCTGGCTGGCGTGTTGAGCCCCGGCATCTGCTTTTTCTGAATTTTTTTTTTACCATAGTTACAAAAAAAAAAATACTTTGACACTTTTCATTGAAATGACGACAATACAAAGAATGTATTTTAAGTCAAGTGATATTACAAATTTCACTTCAGAACAATCTGTGACTGGCTCATTCACAAGGTTCTAGAGTTTTTGAATAACAAAATTGCTACAGCCGGTCCGTTTACCAAACCAGTGAGTAAACAAGGCTTCATAAGAAATCTCAGTCCTTTTGTTGGCCCTTTGTAGGACCCATTCTTCACTCATTCATATTCAGACTAGCTGTGCCCGCAGGCTTTGACCCGTTTAACTTCACAAGTGAGCTCGTTCGCATTGCTCAATCACATCCTGATTGAAGTTCGTTCGCTACGCTCACTCACCTTTAGGTTGGAGCTCGTTCGCTCCGCTAACTTGCCTTCAGGTTAGTTCGTTCGCTACGCTAACTCACCTTTTGGTTGCAAATTGGCTGTAGTCATAAATTTAAAAAATAATAGTGCTGCACCCTGTTGGCAATCCTTGTAACTTTAATGCTATTGAACATCATAGAACAGAACTAACTTGTTTAATTGAAACAGCTGTTAAGAAATTCCTTTTAAATATGAAAAATCATAAGGTTAACATGGGAAACTCCAGAGCCACTGGGGCAGAGCCCGAAAGCCCGTTTATAACAAAAAGTACTTAGTTTTCCTATTTAATGCCCAAAAAATCGGTGTACCGAATTATAGCTTCCTAGGTAAATGGGAAGTGGGAGAATTAGTGATGATGAGTGAGTGAGTGAGTCAGTCAGTCAGTCAGTCAGTCAGTGAGGGCTTTGCCTTTTATATATTTAAAAGGCACAATAATGTCCTTGTCTTTTGATGATAATGATATTTAAATCATTTTTATGGTACTCTAGTCAATAATCCCTATGATTATATAAAAAAATCTCTTTAGAAAAGGGGAATTACTTTGAACAACAGATCAATATGTTAATATAAAAAATAAATGTTACCTATTTTGGTACATGTTTTGAAATTGATCAATTGTCAATGTTTCAGTGAAATCGCTCCACACATGCTATTGTTAATTTCTGATACAATACAGTTTGATGTGGCAGTAGGAGAGCAGGTGAGTTTATTTAATTATGATGGACAAAGCGAACATTTGTAAAACACCACTAATTAATTGTGTCGGCCAGAAGTCTGGTCGGTGCATCAAACTAATAAAATGGCTGTCCACACACTTTGTGGCCGCTCCTGTCCTGTGTGACTCCATCACTTTGTACAATATTGTCATTCAGCCTAGAAAATATTTCTTATTTTATTTTTTATCATTTTTTCCGTTTCAATGTTATTGGTATTTTTTAAACGTTTTTGTGAGGGAATGGTCCAAACCATGTTTTTTAATAACATTGATCTTAGTTAGATAAAGAAAGTCAATTGGATAGCTAACAATGACAATTATTTGGCATTTGTGACCAGAATCAAACTCGCTAGGAATCGAACCAGGGGCCCAAATATTTGAAGGAACTACAGCATTTTTAACACTGTGGTAATGTTTTTTATCAGTGGTGAGGTGTATTCGTAAATTTTCCAGTTTGGGAATGCTTACCTTAGTCTAAAAACTGACTAACACGTGGTATAAATATGTAAAAAGCAGAGTTTCCACATGTTCCCGCCCTATTATACTGTAAAACATTTTGCAGGTTTCAGAGAGTAAGCATACTCCAGATATACTATGTGAGATAAACTCTGTAATAATTTTTTGTATGCAATTCTAGAGTTTATAATGTCTGTGGAAGACCCATAGGGGAATGACAAAAGGAAATTCCTAAGAACATCAAACTAAAATACTCCCTAGATGAAGCACCACAATTTAAACAATCTTTTATGGTGGATTTTCAAATAGTTTTTCTATAATTGCATTTTACCATTGGGGACTCAAATAAAACACTATATACAGATATGAATTTGGCTATAATTAAACATTGTAAACTTTGTATGGTACAAATTATTGGAGCTCCTGTAGAAAACAGTTTTCACAAGACACTAAAATAATCAATTTGTTTAACAAAAATGTTCCTAAACTAAGCTATAGGCTAGATTTAGTTTTGACATTTTTACAATAAATCGAGTTGATCACAATTTTATAACAACTAAGACGATGTAAAATTATGCGAATAAATCTACAGAGATCATAATGAATTCTTTTGTATTCTTTACACAAACTAACTACATAATTACAATCAATAATTGATACATCGTCAAAAAATAGCTTCAAATACACTATGCACCATTCACGACATCCAGTTTAGGGCTATTCACACAGTTATATAAAACATTTATTCGATAGTCCGAACTGTATGGACTAGGCGCTGAACACGATTCACTATGTAAAATAATATTTACACGGAGTAAACAGCAGTTAGTGGATGCTACAGTTATGTAAACACTGACTACTTCACTAGCGCTCCTAGTGGCTGATACGGAAACTAACCCTGTATCCGTCATTGCACATTGATCAGCTGGTCAATTATTGCGAATCACAAAGACCGATTTACTGACCAATAGTGGAACACAACGATTGCACTAATTTATTATTGCTAACAAATTTTAGATTTGTTCAATGGAATAGTAAAATCCAAACTCAAACTTGCTCAACAAGGAAAACACAGTACATTTATCAAAGTCACTCGCATTATTTTGAAAAAATATACATTCTGAGTTAAAAACTATAAATAATTACTGTGTATACTTTTGAGATATAAAATTTATTTGTGTACGCAGGTATTTTGGTATACAACTTCTTTAGAAACAAAGATATTGTTTAGAGAAACTCTGTTGATTACATATTTTACTATGTATAACTTAAAATTGGTCGGTAATTTACCAAAACTACATCACATTTACCTTAAACCAAAAAAATAAATTGATTTCTATGTATTTTTCTTGTTTTAAAGAAAACAGTTTTTGTAAAGTAATTTAAAGTTTGTTCGGCATTTTAAATGCTTATTTAAAAAATATTACATGGCCATTTAGTACGATTAACACAATTCAGTTTCAGATACTTGACCAACTGAATTTAAACTAAAAAAGTATAATATTACAAAATAAAAATAATAATCAGTTCTGTACAAATAGCCAATTGTTGTTTGTATATAAAACATACTATATTCAATTCAATGAAGAATTATTTTGTAAAAATATAAACACTATATTCACCAATCAGAAATAAAACAAACTGAAGTGAGCTATTTTCAAACAGTTCACCAGTTGAAACTCAAAGTTCATGGTTGAAGGTTGGCAGGTGTGGGTGTCAGCGACGACGGAGGAGAGCCGTGATCCAGCATCAGTCGGGTCCCTGGGAACCCGAACAGCTGAGATCACTGAAGTCTCGGCCAGTAGTTGGAGGAAATGTGGTCAGTAACACTGGCCTGGCTGGGGATCTGTACTGGGACTGACACTCCAGCCGATATTACCCCTATAACAAGACAGGAAACTTATCAGTATCAGAAAATTAAAAAAATATCTTCTGTGTTGTATCTATATATGGGAAACCACCATATTGAAGGTATTACAATATGAGAGATTTCCATTCATATAGTACCAATAGAGCAGTTATTAAAATATATAGGTAGGTCAATAGGTCATTCAGTCACAGTTCATCAACTTTTAGAATTTAGGTCAGCGTAGTAAAACAAATCAGAATTTAAAAACTCCAAAGGGTTAGACATCCACGGTGTTTCCTATAATGTCCTGTAATATGTGGTAAACAAAATCTCTTTTCCCTCATCTAGAAGGTGTTATTATTCAGTTTTAAACAATTGCCTGAGAGATTGTGGAAATCCTTCAAGATATTGAGGTCTGTTCCAGTTTACAAGAAAGGCAAGGCCGTAGAACTCAATAATTACAGATCCATATCAGTGCTACTGGTGCTGTCTAAGGTCATCAAAACTGCAATTAAGACTCAACTCTGCAGCTACTTTGAGTCAAACAATCTTTAAAATGATTCCCAATATGGCTTAAGAAGAGAGTGTTCAACAACAACTGCAGTTTTATCTTTGACTTCAAGATTAACTAATGTCTTTAAATCTAGGGAACTGTCAGCTGTTGCACTCTGTGATCTGAGCTGTGCATTTGATTGTGTCTTACACGACATCCTGCTTAGTAAACTGAAGTCATATAGAATTACAATAATTGAGCTTTAAACGCTTTTTAGCTACCTAGTAATCAGAAAATTGTGCCTTTGGCGAGGGACATTCCGCTAGCAGTGAGGGTGGTGTTCATGGTAATCCTCAGGGCTCTGTCCTGGGACCTCTACTTTTCCTGATACTCATCAATGAGTTGTTGGACAGTAGTTGCTATTCACAGATGACACAAGTTGGTGACAAGAGGAGGCAATATTGATCAGGTGAAGAGGGAAGCAAGAGCACTGCTTGAGACTACAATGCTTGCTCAAAAAAAAAAAAATAAAATAAATAAACTAAATGAAAACAAACCTCCTGATTTATACTCTTGGACGTCAAATCGAGTTTAAAACCTCAGCGAGGGCAAAACATGTAAATAGGCAAACACAACTTGTGTCTATTCTAAAAGTTGTTTTGCCTCTTTGTACATGCGCCCAAATAGTTGGATGATGTTTTCTAACTTGCTGCCATCTCCGTTAAAAAATTGTCATTATCACTTATTATTGACACAATCTCGTAGTCAGAAGTATCTCGTTAATTCAACACAGTGATGAATTTTATTTACCTGTGTGAGAGCCGGTGCTGCTGACAGGCGGGGACGCGCCAGCAGAGCTATGGTACGTGCCAGGATGAGTGGTGCCAACCGTCCCCTGGTGAGCGACCGCGGGGTTGCCCACCCTGGAGTGGTTGTAGCTGGATGTGAGGGAGTGTAGAGGGTCGTGGAACATGTAAGGGTAGCCACTGTGGTGCTCTCTGGCCTGCTGAAGACAACTACTGGACAAGTTGCTGGACATGCCACTGTAACAGAAACTTCATCTTTATTTTCAGGGTAAATATAAATTCTCATATAGCTTTTTTTTTTAAGGGAAGTCGTTAATTGGGCTATCATCATCAACCATGGATTTGTTCAAAAATAATCACCATTCTAATTTACTTTATAAATAGTTACTGTATGAATATAGAGTTTTCAAAAAATGTTGGGCGACGTATCTTATGATATTTGTATAATAACGCTAACACAATAAAAATACCTAGTTAAGAATCCTGAGTTACTGAAATTTCACAATGTGTAAAGCCATTGTTAATTGGGTGGATTGTAATTTGAACCCTTAGGACAGAGTTCCTGGGTTCTAACTACAGACTAGGGAACGACATTTTTGCATGCTTTTATTCCCTACCCATTGGAGCCAACCAAAAAAATAAGTTTATTTAAAAAAATACTTTTTACTACTTACTTAATGTTTTTCTTCAATTTCATAATTGATAGTAAAAAAATTGTATTAGGTTGTTGAAACCCTAACCTTGGAATTTATCAATGTTATTCCCAACAAAATACAATACATTAGAGTAGGCAGTAGAGGCATATAGAAGATAAGTTGTGACCATGAGTAAGAAAAAGGTTTAAAAATAATGAGTATGTTGTAAAAATAATAATTTACACTATATGCCATACAAATAATAAAATAGATGCTGTAAAAATAATATATAATAAATTACGCTTCATTCTAAGTAGTTAGTTGAAATAAAAACCATGCTAGATTCCTAGATCTATTTACGAGATAAAAATAAGCTTGTATCTACGTTACCCTCTCAGCGCCGTACAAACTACGCTAGGCAAATCAAACGCAGTATTCATATTGCTGCGCGACTATTGCAGGCGTCGCGTCACATAAAACTACAAAGCGCGGACAAGTGAAAACTTTGTGTGCGTTATCAGTGAAAGTATAATTTAACGTTTGTCTGTTTAAAAAGCTTTTTCAGAGCATTATGGTGCTTCCAAGGGGGAAATGTGTTTTTTGCGTTTTTAAAATATTAGTTTTAATTTTGAAGAGCGACACTGGAAAGCTCGTAACATTAAGGAACAAAATATGTTACGTTTAAAAAGTTATTGTATATCACTGTTTTTAAGTTATCATAGATTTCGGGACAATAACAAATAATTTTCTGTTAAAGTTTGTTCAACGTTTTTTTGGACGTCCAAGAAACGGTTCAGTAATGTAATTAAGCTATGATTATCTAATTTTATTATGTTTCAGATTTTAAAATTTGTGTGAAATAATATCAATCACTGCAAAACGCAAAAATTATATCAAACATAGTTTAAGTTTAATTTGTATCGATGAAATTATTTTAAATCCCCTGTATATGTGTATGACTGTTAATTGTATGATGTGGTAACCCCTTTTATGATGCAATACAGGTTAATTGCATTCCTTCATCTTGTATAAAAAGCATACTAACAATTAATATGCCTAATTCATGTTTGACCCCAAAATTACTTTAAGTTAAAAGATCGTTTATATAACAAATTAACCAACACACTTTTTTATGAAAAGCATTTTATTACATCATAGATCATTAAAAAAATTTAAGAAAATGTTACCTCCGTTGAAATCCACCTACTAAAAAACTACAAGTATTGATTCGGTTCAGGAACGGATTCCTAAAAGTACTCCGAGAACGCCATATATAGGGTTTATGACAAAGGCGAGTGACGTCATAGGATAAAGGCAAATGGCGGCATTTTTAAAAACAAAAGTAGAGGTGAATGCGATGCAGTATTTATTCTCGGGGACGCTTAATCTGTCTGCTTCCGCCTCAAGAGCGCAGCAGTGGCGGCGGTCACTTGACAGCAACGACATCTCTCGGGACCTCGCACTAATCCCGGAACTGGGCATTAAAATAATGGCGGGATTACACCCCTTCCCTTCCCACCCAGTGGCTTACTTCTCCGGGATTTTCTCTGCATTTTATTTTATTCCAGCTTGTGTTTTACTTTTTACCCCTTCCAAAAGCATGTTCCTTCATCCAAATCAGGGATTTAGGATTAGGCCTACACTTTTTAGTTTGTATTTTACGATTTTTAGTTTGATTTTTCTCACATTTATTAATTTACTATCCGCTATATCTGTGCTTTGCAACGGGGAGGGGCAAAGAAGGAAACAATTGGCTACTTAAATCTACTGTATGAGGTATTTAGACATCCGTAATCGATTTTAGAAATAAAATGCAATTTCACCACATTTTAAAGATAAAAAGTATTTTTTTTTTCAGGTAGGCCTAAGTGGTAATAATTTATTGGGTTATTTCATTCTACCTTCTTTTTTACAATTTCCAAAAAAAAAAAACACGTTCCTTTGGTAATAATCGGAAACTTAAGGTCTACGGGTTTTCAGTTCATATTTAGGTATAAAGAGTTCTACTTAGTAGACGTTTTACTCGCAATATGTGTGTATTACGTATGTTGTCAGATTAGTGCGTTTTGACTTCTAACTAGCGGGACGAGTTCAATCCTACCATATTTACAAAAATTTAGTTTTGGACCGCGTCAGAGCTAATAACTGTAGTTCGCCCACTACAGTAACACACTCGCCATCATAGCCACAAACAGCTGTGCAGTCGCATGTGTTCGCTTGCAGCACATTTCCATACTTTTGACAGCCGCGTACTGCGTTGTTCAGTTGTAGTATTACCAACATTGACCAATCAAAGGACAGTTTGTACATACGCTGTAACCTCGGGGAACAAACCTGCTGTGGATCTCATCACTTGATTAAAGGCCACCGATGGAAATTGTGTGCAAATCCTTGAGTGTGGATTGTGTCCGCCGCCGGGAGGAAAATACGTTTAGTTGGTGGACGTGTGTTTATTACACAACTTTGAAAATAGTATAATTTTTGAATTTGTAGAGCTCAATGAATGATGGGGTTGTGTATAAGAAGTCTGTACAGTGTTATATTCACTTAAATTCTCTACGTACTCTATATATTTTCTACAAATCCCTGTGTGGAAATCGTGTAGGAAAGAACTGATATGTCGACTTATGAACTACGTACCAGATGGAAAGACGGTTCAACCTTTTGCAGCAGGCGTTGTCAATTGATAGAAGTAGACATTCCATTCTTATGTAAATGTGTAGTCAGTTTGAGAATACAGCAATTATAAACCATATCATTTCCGTATAAATTCTTAAGTCACATAAACCGTCGTACCGCCGATATTATTTTGACACTAGTGCACTCTGTTTCGGATGCACAACTAGTAACAGCTTACTGATTGGTTGATGAGATACCTGCCTCAGTAACCCAAAGCGAATACCACAAGTACCACTATCATATTGAGTTTTCTTCTTGTTGTCTCGTTGTCTGGGTCATCATACCTTTGAGGTAGCAATACTCTAGCTCTAGAGGTTACTCACTTGTAAGTGTCGGCCATGGTGGCGATGGGCTGAGGGATGGAGGAGTACATGGAGTTGAAGGGCGCTCCGGAGTTGACTGGTAGCCGTGGTGTACCAGGGGCCGGGGGACTACCAGCACTGGTCGTCACAGGGTCGCCACCTCTCCTCTGGTTACGTAGCTTCTCCTCTCGTCGCCACTTGGCTCGTCTGTTGCTGAACCACACCTGTAAACATCAAACACTTTTCGTCATCAAAGGGTTACACGACCAACGTCTAAGTCTCAAATAGTCTTGTCTGTGGCCGCTTCTGCGAGATGCTGCAACAGTTTTTGCAGCCCTACTTCACCAACCGCATCTCATCATAATACCGTAACTTACTTATCTACCAACCCAGCTACATCAACCACTGTAAATCTCTCCTCGTCAATCTCAACTCCAGAGTCCTAGAACAGTCTCTATGAACGTTGTTGATTTATTGAAACATCACAATCATGGTGTTGCGCTCCACCTTCAAACCATACAAGTACCTAGCGGCTAGATGTTACAGAAGATGTCAATGTAATGTAGCGCTTGGTTAATGTAATCTATTCTCAATCAGTTCAGGTGATCTGATCCTTCAACGGCCATTTAATCATAGATCACCAACAATTAGACATTTGGGAAAGTGGACCTAAATACTATAGGTCTGTAATAGTTCCTTTTGCCAGCAGCATCCTGTTCCTACAAATTATTACATAAATAATGGTTTGAAAACTTGACTCAAATTCTGCGGGGTTCTCAAAACTTTGACTTTGTGATTACCAAGAGTGTGTTTATTTGGAGGGTTTTACTCATTTTGTTCGCGTCACTGGTCTGTAATCTTTCGCGGCATTGTTTTGATATCTCTACTCGATTCACGCTTTATGTTCCATGTTTTTTATCCACTTTAGGACCCTACTTTGAGAATGTTTACTTTTTTGTCCCCAATTGAAACTTTTTCACTTGATTTAACAGAAACTAAATTTTCAAATATAAGAATAGCTATTTGTTACATTTTTCAATATTTTGAAAATAACTCCCCAAATAATTAAAATTTTAATACAGTTTTTTTTCTACTTTTCTCTGAAGTAAAGTAAAGAACAAGACCACTGAAGGAAATCAATAATTCGATGTCAATAAAAGTGGGTCTTCCAAGGCAAGGTGTGATATATCCTTGGCGTGCAAGGGAGAGATACAGATAAAGAGAGAGAGCGTCAGCGGCGGCGGCGATTGGTCCGTGTGCAGCGAGGCGGAAGCTGATTGGTCGATGTATTTCGCCCCTCCCCTCCCCCCCATCACCCGCGGCTCCGTATGTCCTCTGCGGCTTCTCTGTTTATTTTTTATACTTTATTTATCCTTGATTTTCAAGATATATGGGATTTGGCACGGAGTATGTCAAGTAAAAAGAATCCGTGGAAATATATTTACATTCAGTAGCAGTGCCTGTGGAATGTGTCCAATTTACAACTTTTTAAAGTAATCAAAGTAAAAATGAAATGTGTCGACGGTTAGGTAAAGAGATCCTACAGATCAAAGAGATACTCTATATAAAACACAGGTATATTTGTTGAAATAAGAGGTATGATGTAGGGTTTGGTACCTTGTCCACTTATAAGTCCCTATGTGTAATCACTTCCTTGTCACATTGTTCTAGTCTCTATTGTTTACCGTGTGACTAACATCTAAGTTATCTTGTCTACTTCCGTGTCCCTCTATTGTTATTGCATGTGTGTGTCATTTTCCTCATAGGCTAATATTGTCTCTTATCTCATTACCTACCTATATTTCTCCTGTCCCTACATTATCACATTGTCGTTGTCTCTATCGTCTACTACTGTACATGTTTTCACTATCCTATCATAGTTTTTGTCGTCCCTGTGGTATACTACTTGTTGTGGTTCAGCCTCTACCTAATCATTGCGTTTATCAACTACCGTATCACATTTTCCGTTTTCTCTATCGTCTACTACATGTTTAACCACTATCTTATCATGGTATTCGTTGTCTTTGTGGTATACTACTTGTTGTTGTTCAGTCTCTATCGCTCTATCTAATCATTTCTTCCACACTCTCTCTCTATCACATTCTTCACATTTATCCACTACATTCCGACGTCTCTATCGCCTACAAGATGTTCAGCCTTTAGCTTATCACATTGTCTGTCGCCTCTATCACCCACTACATGTTTTGATGTTTATCTTATCATGGTTTCCGTTGTCTCTGTAGTATAATCCTTATTCAGCATCTAACTTATCATATTCTCCGTTGTACTTGTAGCCTACTACGTGTTCAGTCTCTACCTTATCTCATCGACCGTCTCTCCACTGTCTACTACACTACACGCTGCCTGTTCTGATCTGCTCCACTGTTATGATAATTGATTTGTTTTGTGCTCGCTCACGCGGAATCCGATTGGCCGGTCGCCATATGCCCCTCTCCCTCCCCAACCCCTCCCCCTAGGTCATTACGAGGGCCGAGCAGGTCTACCCGCCCTCAGACCTAACGATATTGTTTTCTTTTATTGCCTCTGCCCCTAATCGAGACACCAGATTTATGTGTTTTGCGCTATTATTCGTCTGTTTGCGACGTGTCGCTCGCCCGAGTGGATTTCCTTCGGCGATTGTCGTTTTATTGTGGCAGTTATGTGGAGGGGATTAGGAAATTGATGCAATTTGTCCCGGTATCGGCTTTTATAGGAGCTGAGCAAATTGAATGGTTTGGTCTTTTTGCGCACTGATTGATGGTATCGAAGCACCTTGTAAGGGAAGTGTGATATTTGTAAAACGTTTCTAATCATACTTTTAAGCCCTTATATGGATATAGTTTTCAGTGGCTGCATTTTTGGGGAAGTAACTGGTCAATTGGTAAAGCGTGCAGTTTCGGTCCTTGATGTCCCAGGTTCGAATCCCAAAAATTTCCAATGACTTTTAGCTAACTGATAATGCAAATGCAGTAACCCTCAGGCCTAGCCTTAATGGGCGAAACGGTTTAAAGTGAAAACCTGGCGTCCTAAAAATATGAAGGTGGGACAAAATCGGATTCGCAATGAAAAATATCGTTGGCGGTGAATTCAATGTGGGTGACTTCGAAAAGTAATAACAATCTTTAACAAAACTATTTAGATAACGATTTAGTCTTCGCCTGATTAATTATCCACCGGTTTACTCAACGACTATTTCCCCACGTTAAAGTTGTAACATCTGAGATGTGACAGTAAAGTAGTAAGACAACAAAGTTAGTCAGTGTACCACGGTGACCACGTAACCTGTGGGGGGGGGCAGGTAATGTGGGGGGGGGGGGGGTGTTGGCCGGGCAAACATCGGTTGTTGACGCATGTTTTCGAGGGTCGTTTGCCGCCTTGGTCCGTTCCGTTCCTTGCCGCTATTGATTTTACCTAAGTGGCCCACGCTGGAGGGGATTAGACCCGTCTTTCTCTCTAATCACTCTTTATCTGAAGCCCCCCTCCCTCTCCCCCTTACCTGCGGCTGGTATTGGTATTGACATCGTGAGACGAGGAAGTAAACCTATCTTACGTCGGACGAGGGAAATCTTTAGCATTCAAAGTTAAACGATGTCAAATTTAAAACGGTTTAATCGAAAGATTAATTTATTTTGCCGTTCCTAGATTGACGTGGGAAGTTGTATTTTAGTAAAAAGAGGGCATTTACCTTCGATATTGTGCGAATATTGTGTCTGTTAATGGATTCCCTTATATCCTATACACATTTCCAATCCAATTTTAAGTCATATTTCCCCCTTAGAAGTGAGTTGGATTACTTTACCTGCTGGCCTAAACCATTATTTATTGACTAAACCCACAGTTAAAGATCGAAATGGGAGGAGGGATTTCAAAAAATGTATAAGATTCTTTTTATACTTACAGAAGACATTGGTTAACGTATCAAGGACCTAATTATATTGTAGTTGAGTAAATTGGTGAAAATAGTTTATCATTATATAGTAATAATTTAATCGTCAACACTGAATTAAACTATGTATCACTTTTGACTAAATAGGCCAAATAGAATAACAACTTTTGTATCAAAGTGGTTTTTCGATGCATGTACGCCACTATGAACATCCATTTAGAAAATTAAGAGCACGAGTCTTACAATAGTTGACTCGTTCAATTTTTGAGCATATAATTTTTCAGCTCACACGGTGAAGCACTTTAACGTACAAACAAGTACGTGAAGCGTGAATAAAAATAAAGATAACAAAACCACGAGAAAAAACGCGGACCAGTGACGCGAATAAAATGTGTAAAACGTCCTCCAATTAACACGATATTCTCGGTAAACACGGGTAAATAAAATGGCGCTGGTGACCACCGGGGGGAGGGGGGGGTACTTATCTAAATGAAGCTAGATCACTTATCCAGATGAAGTCGGCCACATCAAAAACACGTGATTGAAATCCGTTTCAATGGCGCATTCAAACGTTACAAATCAAAACTTTGCTTGAAACAAATACGAGCCAGATGGCGGCGCTTTTGATCTCCTAATCCATTGACAATCCTTTGGCGGATGTATCCGCCGACCGCGGATATATGCGCGGTTATTAGTACGACATTAGTGTATTGGTCAAATTGTTTAATTTTAAGATTGCAGTTAACGAAAAGGATGTAAGTCAATTTACCGTTTATTAAGTGTGTACCACAATTTAAACAAAATTCAGTGCTACTATTTCGAAACAATATGCGCTACTAAAATGAACAATGTGATTTTCTCTAGTTATAAGCATTAAATAGTAAGAAATAGTTTAGTTAAGCGAGTATAAATATATTTTCTTTTATTCTAAATCGGTACAGTGTAGTAAGATATAGTTTTCGTTTTGCAAAAAAGTGTTGCGGGTATAAATAGTTGTCGTAGGATGATGTTTCGGTGAGAGTAGTAGAGGAGCGTTCAAAATATACAACGATTACCGCAATTTCAGGGTTTTAAGTACGAGTTTTATCCTAAAAAATCATGGAAATAATTTCATAATAGTGGAATTCAAACTAAAAAAAAAAAAAAATTTAATTAAATTCATTGTCATCTGTCGTTAGCAAGAGGTTTTTGGTCCTTTCTGGGTTTCCGCCAAACCATAGGGGTGGAATCTCCAGAAATCTTTGTAACATTTACTCTGAACTATTTATAATTGTATGGAGTTCGAATTGTATAGCTTTAATAGACTCATAATGTTCACCAACTACATGTAAGCCTATG